TTGAGTACTATTATAATGGCCTTGAGTCGGGCTTTAATGTGCCCTATCATCCGAAGAGCGGTCACTGTACCAGTAAGGTGCGTTTTGCTCCCCTCCTCCCCCTGCTCGATTTCCAATGACTTTTACTTCCCTCTGTGTACTTGTGCCGCACTTATAAAATTAGAGAACAGGAAAACTATCCTTTGATGAAGCTGTCTTCTTCCTCGCAGAAACTGTGCATGGGGTCCTGGGACTCCTCCCGGTGTTCCAGGAAGGCCCGGCCGGGTGAAAGCCTTGAAAGGGCGATCCACTACCCAGGTCTAACCCCCAGGTCCTCCCGGGGGCGAATCTCAGAGGACAGCAGGAGCTAGGCTGCACCCCGCTCGTCCACAAACTGCAGGAGCCGCTCGCCCGCACTCACCAGCCACACTGCCCTCAGCCCAGCCGCCGCCTCCAGGCTGCAGCCCAGACCCCTGGCCACCGCCACATCCTCCGGTCCCAGTCAGCGACCTCTCCACGACCCGCAGCGCGGAAGCCCGCGGTTCCCATGGCGAGAAGTCCCCGGCCGCGCAGCCAACCAGGCCAACGCCCAAGGCGCCCACGTGGAAAGCGGGCGTGTTTAGTTCCGGCTGCTGGTGCTCTGCAAAGTTGCAGCTGCCAGTGCCGGCGACCCGTCCTACCTGGTCAGAACCCCGCCGTGACCGCACGTTGAGCGGCCATAGCCGCTTTCAGCCGTTTCGTTCCACTCTCTCCCTTCCCTGCAACTGCCAGACGATCCAGGCCTCGCGGAGCCTGATGGGACTTGTAGTCGTCTGCGGAGCCCGGCCTGTGAGCAGTGGGCGGCGCAGGGGCCACACACACTACATTTCCCAGCAGGCCCGGCGCGGCACCCAGTCCGCGGCTCCGCGGGGCTCCGTGCGGCTCCGCGCGCAGGCATACTGTTCTCCCTGCCCGGCCCAGCAGAGAGGTGTTGGGCTCTAGCCCGCTGCAGCGGTTAGGCTGGGTTCCCGAGCCGCTGAGTTCTCGGCCCCTGCAGTTACGTAGCAACCCCCCGCCGGTAGGCGCCTCGCCACGCCCTGACCACACCTCCTTGTTCTCTTGGTCCAGAGGCTCCAGGACTTTCTTTGGCTCCAGGGTTAGTTGGATGCTCTGCTACCCACCGCCCTAGAGCCTGAGAGACAAGGGGCCCGAGGCCGACACCAGGGTCACACCAGCCCTTCAGATCCTGTCCTTTCAGAACCTCCCCAAAAGTCCAATTTGCTTGCATGTATATACATACTCATTGCTGGTTACTGTATGTGTAGTGTTTCTCTACTCTGTATCACACAGTGTACATCATTAACCCTAACTGTCTTTTTAAAATCACAACATCTCCAGGTAGGGATTATCATCCCAGTGTTGCTGTTGAAGGAGTTAACTGCTAGAAATAGAAACAGGATCGGATCTGATCTCAACTGGCCTAGCTTCAAATGGAGTGCCCACCATTTCTCAGAGACCCCAAAGGACATGACAGGACAAACAGAAACAGCCTGTCTACTTACCGTATTAGGATGTAGTCATATGCCATATAATTCACTCATTTAAAGTGTTCATTCAATGGTGTGGGTATATTCACAGAGTTGGACCACCATCACCACAATGTATTTGAGAACTTGTTTCCACCTCCAAAAAAGGAATCTGGGTGGGGCTTGGTGCCCACCTGTAATCCAGCACTTCGGGAGCCAAGGCTTGAGCGCAGGAGTTCAAGGCAGCAATGAGTTATATTTGCACTACTGCAACCAATCACCCATGGTTAGTGACGGTAGTACATTAATGGTAACTCTTGTGTTGAACCATTTGAGGAACTGCCAGAATTTTTTTCAAAATGGCTGTTCCATTTTACAGTCCTACCCTGAAGAGTTCTGATTTTTCCACATCCTTGCCAAAACTTGTTATTATCTGAATTTTTTATTATAACAACCTTACGTTTTAAGGATCTTGTGTATTAAAAAAGAAAGGAAGACATGCACAGAAGGTTGTAAAATAAAGAAATATTTTAAATGTTTATATTAATAAGTTTAACACCTCTAATTATAGGAGTGCTATGCAATAAAACTATGCTATTAAGATTAAAAACCAATCTTGGGATTGAATCAATATGGCAGATGAGAAACACCACAAGACAGAGTGGCTCTGCAGAAAAGACAGATTCTAGCAGAAATTAGAAGAAAGAAGCAAGAAGACGAGCCTACATCGGATGAGGGTCGGAAGGAGGAGTACCTGAGACCCCAGGAAACTCCACAGGAGGAGGCTGTGGAGAAGAACTGGAGGCTGGGACCCCCGGGGCAGCCCAGAGACCAGCAGGAAGAGTAGGTGGATAGGCCGTTTCCTCTCCCCTGCATCTCAGACAGCTGGAGGGCTCCCCAGTGGGTGGAGAGACCTGCAGACACCAGCCCAGCGATGGCCGCCACCAGTGAGTGGTAAGCCTATAGCGGACACGGCACCAGGCTCCCAACTCCCTTGGGGCACCTCCCTGTGCACAGACCCCAGCCGTGCGGCAGGTGCCATATTGCCTCATTCTCCCCTCCACCAACTCTATCCACAGCTGCCGAGAGAGACAGTATAGCCACCAAGCGGAGGCACCTCCAGGGAATGGGACCTTCCGTTTTGGGGCCCTACAGCTGACTAAGGGGAACTCAGACTGTGAGCTTTCCACCCGCCAGCCCTCCCAGGTGCTGCTGGCACAGTGATCCCAGGACAACGGGGCAGATCCTGAGGCTGAGAGACATAGACCCAGCTTGGGCTCCCTGTGGGTGAATTGGGACTGGCACTCCTCTCCCTGGTGGGGATATAGTTTAAACTCTGGGACCCAGAGGTCAGACCTACAGACCAGATCCTGTGCACCAAGGTCTCGCATTACTCAGGGCACAGAAGGGATATACGTGAACAGCCTACTGAGATAAGTGTGCCTTCGGGGGCAGATCAGCATCCTAGAGGGCAACCCGCCCCCCAAAGGGAGGGCGTGCGCCTAGCCCAGGTGGCATTCCTGCACAGGGAACCTCCCCGCCAGCATCACAATCAGGGGAAGCCTGGTGGCGTGTGATCTGGCCTGCTAGCAGAGGCCCAGGAGTACCTGTGGAGTTGGGGACGGTGGAAAGAAGCCAGGCCCACTCCAGACTGTGGGTCTCAGACAGCCCCACCCCCACAAGCAGACTCTCTGACTGAGCGGAGCCATTCCAGCCCTTCCCTGACAGCTTTTCCTGGAAGCAGAGAACAGAACTTTGACCCCTGCTAACGACATTCGACATTCGAGGTGCCTGAGGGCGGCTTACCCAACCCAGCTCTGCCCAGCCTCACTCCCAGACTAGCCCTCACTGAGGGGGAGAAAAGGACACACCTGGAAATCCCAGGGCCGCATCCACCACC